AAGGCAACAATGAAAACTAAGATGTTATAGTGTCTACTGGCCCTGGAAGTGTCAGGCTCCATCTAGTTTTACTGAAATGTTTAGACAGAGAAGTCCTCAGACGGCAATAGAAAGTGTCTGTGGCACACAAAAGTGATTAGCCTCCCATAATAGACAATTCAAGCTATAAACATGTGTACTCAAAAGTGTCTCACTGAGTTAAATGGAGCTTACGCCCATGTCCGTAGGTATATGATTGCAGCCTAAGCCACATTAAACATGGCTTGTTGGCAGAGCTCATGACTCCTGTCTTACCAAAAGGCCCACTTCAAGAATTGAGAGATTTCATATTACATCTTTGCAAGTGAAAGACATTTTAAAAAGTTACAATCTAAGTCTTTTGCTTCAGAACAGCCTTGCACTCTTGAACTTGAACAGGACAACTCCAGAGTAAGAGATCGGTGGAATGTATAGAAAAAAAGGAATCAGATATTTCCTTCAAGCCATCTATTTCTGTGCCTCTCAAGACATTTGAATTAAACTGCAACAGAGGTGAACTGTATTTTACAAAATCATTTGCAGCTGTTTTTTAAAAAGTAGATCCCACCCTTTTGCTTTTCACCTAGAGGATATTAGCACAGCTGTAGGGACCAGCCCTAACTATAGAAGTTAAAACTCCAAAAATATCTACATGTTGCATGGGGTACTTACGTCTTCATAATTAACTACAAACAAGGCTGACAGCAAGCTTTAAAACAGACTGACTAACTTTCCATGAAAATCATAGGGAAGAAATTAACTCAATATTGAAATCACAAAGTCCTATAATATAAATATAAGAATCAAGGCTACTGTACAAACTATGCATTAAAAAAACCTGCTTTTGCCAAGTTTAAAATGATGCATACTTAAAATGTGTAAAAGCAGGGACGAGGGGAGAGAAACAACTGATGTGGTCTAAAAGGCATGCGAAAGAGTTATTCAGATACTATCAACTACTAAAAGGAATTCAGCCACCCTTCCAGGACAGATTAAGACAGGCACTATCCCAGATGAGTGATTAACATATACATAAACCGGGTTCCAAATAATATCACACTTTATAAAGTGGATTGTTTTGTTTTGGACACAGGTTCAGTCATGCTTTTGAAACAACATAATAGGGAGTGAACCATTCCTACTAGGGCAAATGAATCATTTTCACCAAGAATCCATATTGGAAGGAACACAAAATCTGATTCTCTATAGAATCTACAGAGAGCAAATCAAGGGATACATGGTTAATCTCTTACATCAGTGGACACTCCCAGCACCGTACAGATCACAACATTTAGCTGGACAGGTGAGCACATATGCATAATGGAGTGAAAAATACAATAAATTGCTGTACTAGAATATACATACATATGACAGTCACTCAGACACTGTCACTTGCTGCATTTTATTACTTAAAATCTTAAGTTGTGGTGATACTGAATTTAGTCATACTCATAGTATACCCACTGAAATCAATGTACTTAAATCCATTTATTTCAATGGGTCTGCTATCAATATGACTTTGCTGGATAGCATACATAGGCTATGAAAAGGACACTAGATCTCTAAGGCAATATCAAGTATCCCTTTTCTCTACCACAACTTTAAATCCTGTAAACATTCAATCAAGAGTCATCTTTGTATAGATCATACTCACACTCCCAAACAGAACTGCGACTCACAAGGCATTAAGAAACTTCCTTTCAACTTAAGCTAAACTTGGCTGAAAATGAAATAAGCAAACAAATCTCATAGTGCACAAGGCTTGTGCAGCTGAATCAGTTTGCCCTTAAGCAAGCACTTTCAGAATAATGTAACAAGTTGAATAATGTTTGCAAACTTGAAAGAAAATGTCCAGTTTTTATCTGCAAGTTCTTCAGATATCATTGTCATCTCGTTTTCCTATCTCTCTATATAATATTTGTACTGGTCTGACATCACACTGTGATGGGAGTCCAAGTCGCTAAGGTGTGCAAGAGGCACATGGGCTGAGCAGTGACTTGGATATCAGCCCTTGCAGAATTTCATCTCAGAGTCTGAATGGATCACCTTAGGAAGAGGATGGTGGGTTGGGAAGATGCTGCTATGACCTGCCAAGGGGAAGCTCTCTTCTCTGGCACTAACAGAGGCTTTGTCTGGCAGTTGAGAAAGACAGAGAAAACTGGGGAGGGGGCACACTGAGGTGCAAAAATTAAGCAGGCAGGGGGAGAGGTTGTGATCCTGCATAGGAAAACCAAGGAATAGAGAGGAGGGTTAGTGAGCTGAGCAAGCAGGGAAGTACTACCTAGTTTTGACTTACGTACTGTGGACAAAAAACTAGAGAGCTCTCATCACTGCCAATGGGATCTTAATGTCAGACTCCCTCACTAGCGGGTCATATTACAAATTGCTCTTGAAACTCCACTCAGTTTCAAAAACCGTTTGCCAAGCAGCTTGATGATTTGCTATTCAAGCAGTACAAGGTCAAAGGACTTCTTGAGAATATGGGTCTATGTGCATAATTCTTGGGATCACTGCTTCTGCGTCTAATACTCCCCTCTCTTCCCCCCAAAATCAAATAAAATCCTAAAAAGAAAGCCTCGTCATAGTATCAGGGACACTGCAGGGAAAATTCAGAACAAAAATGTTCTTAAATGTGTGTCCAAGCAGTCTGTGCTTCAGGAATGCCTGAATTTCATTGGAGCATATTGTCAAAGCATACCATAAAATATACAATCTTTTTATATTAAATATGTACCATCACACCAAACCTATCCCTTTCAAATTACAAATGTGTCTCCAATCTAAAAATGTATAGCTATTCTTTGGTCCCAAAAAACACCACTAGAACAAAAAAATGGTTTTCTGGTAGCTTGAGTTCTTTTTCTTATTTTTAACAAATTGGGCAGAAATCAGAATACACCCTTGTTATTTGAGGAAATCAGCCATGGCAATAAGCAGAGTACTCTTGCATTACACAACTTTAAATAAAAGTTCCCATTCAAAAAGTATACGTTTATATGCTTTCAAAAGGTTCTGGGATTATTACTAAAATATAGCTCTGCACATGACTAATAAGTCAAGTGACTGGCATATCTTATACTGTTTCTGCTGACAACAGGACCTATGCAGAGGACTGGATTTCCCTCCAGCCACTCCAGGGACAGCCCACAATTTTCAGGCTTATCTCCACCGCCTCAAGGAGTTCAAAATAGCTTTTTTGAAAAACGGAAGTCAATGCATTCTTAGGATACTGAATCTCACCCCAGCAGCTGGTGTTGAGATCATACACAGCCTTGGACAGTCCCAATGTTTACTTTTATTTTTACTAATTTTTCCTTTTATTTTAACATTTACTTCAAGTGTTAGGAAAAATAAAGGATCTTAAAGGCTTAAATATGCTTTTAGGATCCAGAAGATTAGAGGGCTCACCAATATCATGCAACATGGTCAACATATATAAAAATGGGAACTCTCACGCTCTACAATCAGTGACATTCAACAGACATTCACAATTCTACTTCCTAGCTTTCAAGGTGCATACACAACTGTCCCAGGAATAAGTGTACCTCCACTGATAACTGTTCATCATCATAATGGAAACATATTGAGAAGAATTACTGATTTTATATACTCATTTTGTGGCTGACCTAAACAACAGATGCAAGAAGCATGAAGCAAGAAGCTAAAGAGAGATTCTAATGACTGGTTCCAAATCCCCTACCCACAGAGTACATTACTTTCCCCATGAAACACTGCTGGGAAGATTGAGGGAAAACCGGAATTATATAGAATGGTATGTAAACTAAATGAACCACATAAATGCTACTCGGCAAAATAAGTCTTCATCTGTGGACAATTATTCAAACATTTTGTAGATCTGCTCTCATGCCTAAAAAAAACCTTACTATTCAGATAACTTTAGCAAAATTCATAAAAAGATTCTAATTCAGAAAATAATGCAGAGCAATCTGGATAATCAAAATTTGAAGTCAGACACACACTCTCAGGGTCTGTAATTACAGTGGTACCACAGTTTTCGAACATCTCTATTGATGAACATTTCGGTTTTCGAACGCTGTGAATGCTTCGGTTTTCAAACACGCCTTGGAAGTTAAACATGCCATGCGGCTTCTGCTGAGTGCAAGATCTTGAGGCCTAGCTGTCGGCTATTGAGTTTTCGGTTTTCAAACGTTTCAGAACTCGAACGGTCTTCCGGAATGGATTACATTCGAAAACCGAGGTACCACTGTATATAGTTTTAGGAATATTGCAGTATGGATATGAACTCAACACAAAACAACCCTGACCACAATCGGTTTTCCTATGGTTGAATGTAAGAGGAACAGAGAGGCTCAATACCAACTTCACATTATTCCCTTGTAAAGTGGAAAAGGAAATCAATGTGTAGTGTATTGAGGTGTTACATCCCAGTTCATACCTGGTTGTGGTCACAAATGGAGTGGGCTTTGTGTTTTCTGTTTAGCAGAAAACTTCTTTTCCACCAGTCAATCCTCGAACTGGCATGAATGGCTGTTACAGATACACAGTAGAACTGTAGGAGTGTGAGAACTAAAGTTAATTGGGGAATCTAGTTAAGGGAACATACACAGTGGCTGTGTAACTCAATACCTGATTTATGTTATTGCTATCTCTTTCCCTGATGCACTATGTCTACGGTTGGAAACTCCATTTTCAAAAGAACAATCTTTTGCCAGTTCTAACTATCATATTTCTACTGGATGGTGGGAATGTAGACTGAATACCAATCTTCTCTCTGACTCTGCTAACTCAAAGTACTGTGCACCAAGACAATTCTTCACTCTCATGTATCCTTCTCTTCATTTACCACATTTATGGACAAGTATCTTCATTTGAAAAGTTCCGCAATTATGGCCTTCATGCCAATAATTTCTCAAGTCCTCTCTCTCTCTCTTTGTACATGCAAATGCTCACGGCCACCACATGCTCCTCCTTTTCCTATAAAAGTGAACATTTTTTTTAAAAAAAAAAGTCTGCAGGCTTTTACTTTACTACTTCTGGGAAATCCCATTTTGCATGAGATTTTCACCCATCCAGACGCTGAATCTCTGGGCGATGATCCACTTCCCTGGATTCTGTCCGAGCACGCATATAATCACTGGTCTGCCTTGTGTTTTGTTGTCGGCTGTTAATTCTCCAATTTTTAACAGCTAAAAATAAATTCACAGCATAAACTGCAGTTGCCAGAAAACCAAATATCTAAACAAAAACAAAAAAGGGAAAGGGAAAAGAATGACATTTTATTTAAGTGATTAAGAATTTAGTAGTTTTATACAGAAATATTGCAGCTGATTGTTGGCTTTTATGTGTGTTGACCTTATACCTTCAATTATAATTACATAGCGTACATTTATCCTTCATGCTACTTCAAAGTTCTTTAAAAACAAGCCAGACATATTAAGTCTCTTCATTTTGTTGACTGGGTAATTAACTGCTTGCCTTTTTGGAATTGTCTATCTTGCTGGTACCTTTAATAAAGGGAGATCCATTGATAAGACAATAAGGCACAGCACCTGAAAATTACTAATAGGACTTCTCTAGAGACCTAAGTTAAGGAATCCAGACACCCCAACTGCTTCCACTTATAACAACAGGACAGTCATTTAAGCATTGGAAAATGGTCGATGAGCTGATGTCATGCTAGACAGAATAAAAGCCTTTCCCATGCAGCTGATGAAAAATTATCCAATCATAGATTTGTTAATCTTTAAGGTGCTACAAGACACTGTCATTTGGGGGTGGAGAGTTTTCTTTTATTACCTAGAGCAAAATTTTGCCCCTGAAACTGGTGAGTGGAAGGCCAAGAACTGCATGTCAGTGGGCTTGGGAGGAGCCAGCAGTAGACAGACCCTCGTATATACTTATGGGGAGGATGGGGATAGGGAATGTTAACCCTCGCCCTCCCAGGTACCCCCTCCCTCACAATCACATTTTCCCAAGCTGGCGGTGGAGGGAATAAAATTTACATTGCAGCAGCAAAATTCAGCAGCAGTACTGATTTGGCCGTGAGGTTTGTGTTGGGTGCCTATATGAGCCACAGTGAAGGCCATGAATTGGCAACATATGACATAGAACCTTCCTGCCATTCTCTGCAATGCCTAAGAATCTTGCACTTTTAAAACTCTTTAAAATTTGCTGAAGAATTTTCAGGGGTTGCAGAAGAGCCATAGCTCATTGTTAAGAGCATCGGTTGTGAATGCAGAAGGCCCCAGCTTCAACCTTCAATATTTCCAGTAAGAGCTGTTGTCACTATCTGAAACTCTGGAGAGCTGCTGTCAATAAGTGTAGACAAAACTTAGTTAAATGGACCTTTGATTTGACTGTATTATTTATTTGTTTATTCAGATTTGTAGTCTGCCCTTCACTTAGCAGTCCCGGGGCAGCAGTAATTACAGTACAGTAAATTGCAGTCTTACAGTAATTAACACTCCTTCTTCCATATCTTTTTGACCAACCCTTCTGCCTATAACCACTGAAATGGTGGTCCCATACTATTGTCTCCCTGCCTCCTCTCTCTTTCATTGCTTAGGCATTCATCAACCATCTCTCACCTCACAAAATCAAAGGAAGTTACCAGAATACATGCTGTTATTCAAATTTTAAACTCAGTTAAAATATGCAATAAACTGCATGAATAGCAGCAAGGTGCAAATAAGCAATGAATTGCATGAATGGCAATGCACAATGGATGACAAATGTGTAATATGTAGCCAGGGGTGCAAACTAGCAATAAAGTACAGATATCATAGCACAGCAGAGGCTGAAAAAAAATTCATATTATATATCAAGACCGCATGCACGCACAAAAAAAAGAGGTACATAGAGTAAATGCACAGAGTAAATGTTTTTAGCAAAATACTAAAAGGAGTAGCTGCTGAATATCTGTAGCCCTCTTTATGATTAACAGTATTAGCTTCCTAAGGAAGCTTCTTACTGACACAAGCTGGTGTTTATGTGGCTCACTACTGAAATAGGACAGTGCTAGACAATATTGGTGATTTATGGCATAGCACTGTATACTTGGCGTTGCAGGTTTCACCACTGTTGCAAACTATTGACGAGACTAGCATGTCGAAGTTAACATCCTATTAATAGCCTCCTCACTGCTTGCAAGCTGACTAAAAAAATATAGCAGGAAATGATGAATCTTCAGAAAAAGAAAGTTGAGCAAAACATGCAATGCTGTTTAGCACTGTGAAAAGGATACAAGTTAACCGGTTATCTTTCCTATAAACTAATGAAAATAAATTAACATTGTTTCTTACCACAGCTGCAATTTCTGCTCCTTTGTTATGGTTTAGAGCAGCAAGTACTACAGATGCAATGAAAAAGAAAAAAGTGCAGAGTCCAGTATTGACCAAATCCTATTAAAACAGAATTAGGCAAGTTATTTCACAGTGACAATGTGACTGGTTGAAAACAGAACAATTTTAACAGCTTGCACACAATATATTCTTTATGCAAAAGAGGTAATGATACAGAATAACACATATTATATACACCAATAGATAATTACTGCACTATAGTTTAGGGCCTGGCACTGTAATGAACAGGGAGGGAAACTGCTAAGAAAACAAGTAAAGCTTTCTGTGATTTGTTTAGAGCTTCCTTCCATTCCAAGTGATGAACCTTTGTGCAGCATGTCTATTCAGCCAAAACTACTGTTCTTTCTTCAAGCCACAAAAATGTTCATGACCGAGCTATAGAGTATATATAGATTTATTTTTGACTGCTAGCTCTCTGGAAATTAGAAAGTAACTCACATGTCTGCCACATGCATCTACTGCATTATATAATACAGGATATATGTACTACATGTTGACTTTTTATTTGCATGGTACAGGATCTGTGTTGACATATATGAATATATCATTTCACACAGTGAAAGAAAAAAATTTAAATGTGTCATTTTCCCTGAAACATAACAAAGCTTTCAGAAACTCCTGCAGTTCAGTTTCATTGACTTGCTGTTACTTAGCAAAGAAACTCAAATAGTTTCAAGCTCAAAGCTTTCCAAACCATCTATTAATATATTGCTACAGGCATAATTATAATTCTGAGGAGTTACAGACATAAAGAAAACTTGTTTGGTATTTTATTGACTTACCAACATGCAAATAACAAAAACAAACAAACAAAATACATAGAACAAACACTCAAACTGATCATAATTTACATATGCCGTTTCTACCACTGCCAACAAATTTGGTGCTCCGGTTAGTGATACAGACTGTATTTTGGATACTCTCTATCACAAATACAAACTTCAAGATCAGTTTTCTCCCAGCCTAATGTTTTATGAACAACTTAAAGTCCTTCAGAAAGTAAAATCCAGGGGTTCTCAACTATTAGCTTAGGCACACCAAAATGGAGAATAATAATAGAAATACGTTTTGGGTTCAAATTGGCCATTTCCTTGAACATAAACCTGTGAATTAGGTCAACATGCAGAGATTTTGGGGTTGTATGGACATATGTTATTAACAACATAGTGAACTGATGAAAACTGAATGCAACGAATACAACACTATTCTCAATCTCATGCTCAAATAAGTAGAAGACTTGTGTAATCTGTACATTCACTGAAACAGATTTTTCTGTCTGCAAAATATGTAATCATACAAAGGAAACAAGGAATCAAGTTTGCATTATTGAAGGCTACTATGCCTTTGAGCCTTACTGTTCTGGCTTGAGAACAGGGCAAATCAATTTGATCCCCAAGCAAGCAAATAAGAAGAGAAAGTTCTGTCTACAGCATATAAATGCAACTCCTTAACAATGTATACAAGCATCTCACCTTCCTCCTTCCAGGCATGCTTAAATTGCTTATTCAAACCCACAGAATGTTGGCTTCAAGTTTTACCCAGACTATGTCCTGACACTATGGCACTTAAGGACTTAAGGAAAGTAACAGTTCTGATGTCTACCAGAAAACTTCAACCTGTTGTACATAGCATGAATGGAGCTGGACTGGAATTGTGCAACCTCACATTAGGGGGTTGAGGACTATTGCTCAAATACTAATTCCCCATGGAAATTTAATACTTCGGGGGCTTATTCAGAAAGATGATACTTAAAAATTCTTCTAAACCAGTTCAGTTAATTAAAAAGAGATGAGGTATTCTGAATTATGTCTCAGTGCAGGCTTTACTATGAAATCTTGTAGACAACACACACACACACACCGCACAGATGAAAGAAATTCAGTTGAAATAAGAGCAGCTTTGAGACAGCAATTTCTTTAGTAAAATAGTTCCAGGATAGAAGAGTCTGCAGGACAATCTAGGAGAAGATTCAAAATCAATCTAAACTGCAAATATCCTTTATCTCATTCATAACTGATTTAATGAAAACTGCAGTTTTCTGTATCATTTCAGGTCATCATGCTCCATCATTCAAGAAGTCTTATTAGCTGCCCCAGTCAAAAGGAAAGCAGTGTCTAAAGAGTTATGGATGGAAAGAGTTATTTTATTTTATTTTATTAGTTCAGTGGGCAAACTTTGGTCAGATACCTAGGCAATGCCTCCTAAACCCCAAATTACAAAATAATTCCCTAAGTGCCAGTTTCTTCAAGTGTTGGCAGACTCTGAGCCTTTCTATCCAGCGGCTTCATGTGTTTATTTTACTTGGGCAGGCAGAGTGTTGGCTATCGAAACAAGACTGGGCTTTCTGAGGTGATACAAAACAAAAGGAAAGGAAACTTTTCTGGACAATGCAGAAACTGAACTCACTGTGCTAAGTTCAGAAAGACCAACATGATTATTTGGTCTCGTTCCAATGTCTACCAAGAAGGACAGGCAGAAAAGTTTATACAGGAATGAAAAAACAAAACCACAAATATCCAGGATACTGCTTGTTGATCTGTTATACAAAAACTCTGTGGATTATTCTATCAAATGTAACCATCTACTGCATATGGTTACACTAATTTTTAAAAAGTTACCTTGCTAAGGAAGATTAGCTCAGATAGACCTCATGTAAAACGTATGCTACGTTACCTCACAGTGACTGAAGGTGCAAGCATTAGTGAAGATTAAATATATTATGATATGTTATCTGCACATTTTTAATGGCTAAAGTCAAGAAATTGAACTATTAAAAGCCAATTATAAATTCCAATTTATTGGTAACGTGATTTTGGTAGTAACAAGGGAACATTTTTCCACTTATGAAGGGAATGCCCTCTGGCATCCATATTCTGGCCAGATGTTTTTGGAGAGAGAGAGAGAATGCCCTATTCAAGCCTCCCCACAACTTGCCATTTTGAACTAATGGAATGACCAAACAGCAATTTTCTGATCTAAGGAATGTGGATGCTGGCTGCAGCAATAACTTCTTTGGCCCAGAAATGAAAGATGCTACACGACTTAAAACTTCTCGTTGTGGTACAAGAATTTGCAGACTCTGGCTATTGCAGAGAAAATAACATTTCTAGGCTGTTCGGTAGGGTTTCATTTCTTATATGTCAAATTCATAAAAGCTTAACATATAGCACGGGTTTTGGAGGAAAGTGTAAGTAAACCAACTGGCTGAAAATAAAGGCAGATGATATAGTTGTCTGCCTCATTCTGGTGTCCAGGAATAAGATTTCCTGTGGGGCTTGTTACGAATAGGCTGCATGTGCTCGCAGGTTTTCCAGTTCATAAAAGAAATAAAGAATCTTCCTGTTCCATTAGAATAGAAGGGTAGAATACAGTCCATCCACAGCATTTGACAGACTTCCAGTGCTGGCCTATGCAGGAAGGCCTACAACAATACAGAGGCAAATTGCCAGCAATATAGAAACAAGAACAAAAATGTTCCTTTACAAATCTTAGATCTCTCTTTCTTGTATGTGGTGAAAGCTACTAATGGGCAGAACTTCTTATCCCCAACCTGCTCTCCTGTTTCCCTAAAGCAAATGCTGGAATTCCGCTGAATTAGAGAAAAAATAATAAAGGGTTATCCTGAGTGCAGGACAGCTGTCTCCCACTCTTGAATAGCCCAGCCTGTCTCCAGAGACAAGAGGTTTCTTAGCCAGTATTAACCTCTTCATTGGTTATTTTAGATACTGACCACTGGCCAAGGGACACGTTAGATCACTTAAATGCCAGATACTGGCATTTAAGGGCAGAAATATACAAAATCTCTAAGCAGCTGACAGTTCTGAACAAAAATATATAAATGGGTTCTTTTCTCTTGACACCGGCAAAGGAAAAAAAAATTTTTTTTCCAGTCTTAGTTCCACATACGAGGAAGGATGCTAGGAATCTAAAAACAAACCACTTCTTTCATTAGCCCGTATAATTCTAACATCTACAACCAATGAAAAGAAAGTGTTTGATTACACTTCATTATAACAAAATAAGTCTGCACATTGCTTTGATGTTAGCTCCTAGGGTATTTATATAATACAATACATTTCACCTTGGCACATTTGGTCATTAAAAAAATGCAGAGCTGCTGAAGGTCAATGGCCAAAACTTTCCATTACAATATGGAACAGGGAACTAAGCTGATTGTGCAGGTCACAGAATATCATTTAGAAACTCTGAATAGATACAGCAATTTTCTTATATGCATGGCAATTATAGGTCTTGTGTTTATGTTAGACATAAGCCAAGAGTCAAGCACATTTAACCAAAGCCAGAACATAATGGCACGGCATAACAAGCTTTCATTGAAATTATCGTTCCATGCTCCCATATACAAAGCTGGTTGAAGTTCTATAGAGGAAGAACATAAAATAAAGGACTAAATGGAACAGACTGCAACAAAAGGATAAGTAAGTATATTTTATTGAAAGATTCTGAAGATGTCCACAATGACTTTTGCTTCCAGACCTTCATTTGAAACACAACATCTCTCTCGTTGAGCTATTTCAGCAACCTAGGCATCTGAAATCACTAGTGGTTAGAGCTACCTTAGGATTCTCTTAGATATGGATACCAAAAAAAAATTTAACATGGAGTTAAATAAAAAATGTATTGCAAGGGGTGATTATCTAGCTTGGCTCATGACAAAGAACAGTCCTCTGTTCACTTCCCTTATTCCTGATTTCACATATTTCTATTCTATGTGACTGGACCAACTTCTTTGCCACATAATGTACTTTCCTTGAAATCCTCACTCAAAATCAGTAATTGCTTTCCAATGCTAAGTCAAATTTATAACATTTAGCCAAACCATTTGTTGTCAGAATCTTAGTGATTGAAACTAGATATCACCCTGTGCACTATTTCAAACAGGATCCAGTCAAGCCAATCATATGGGAATGGGAAAGGGCAATTATAATAACTAAAATACATAACTTGATTCTTTTCAATACATTTAAGCAAGCAGTATATGAGTGACTATAAACTCATCTGAAACATGTGTTCAGATGCCCATCACATTCCTTTACGCTACTTGCACACATCCTTGCAGAGTTGATCTATTTGTTTTATTTAACAAAGGGGAAATTTCCACTATCATTTTCCATACTCTCATAGCAAAACTATCAGAGACAGGAGTATGACTTATCCACTCTTTCTCTGGACGCATTTTTTTCAGTTTTCTTCCTAGCATGCCATACTACAGTCCTTTACAAGCTTCACCTTCCATGTGTTGCATTTTGAATAATATTTCAGATGGCATGCAATTCCTCAGTTAGGATGTAAATGGGATCACTGCTGCCAAATGTACAACATTTCTCTCTTTATTCTGCTGCTGCCAGAAAGTTGTGAATACTCATCATGTACAGTAAGACAAAGGAGGCAGAACTTCAAAATACAGTGTTCCTTAATCCAAACAGGAACAGAGATTAAGGATCACTGACTGGCCTAGTGATCTAATTTACTGTGGCCAGCAGCTGAGACAGACTCATGACGCCACATGGTTTTTCCCCTTTCAAAGGTTTTCAGCATGTACACACAATTCAGGATACATACTAGAAGGTGGAGTACACACTCCTTGGCCTACCAGAATCCAAGAGATCAAGGAACCAGTATTCCAACCTGCCAGTCTCTCATGCATACCCACAGAAAGGGTGGGAGGACAAGTGAAGTAAAATAATAAGCTACTGAATGTATGCGTCGAAAGAATTGCTCTGGCTGCATATTAGCTATCGGGCCAAATTCAATGTACCAGTTTTGGTGTACAAGGCTCTATACAGCTTGGGGCAAAGATACATGAAACATAATACCAGTCCTTATATGCTCAATTGATCACTGTGCTCTGCAGATGAGGGCTTCCTGCAGATTCCATCTATACAATGTAGGAATTGGGACTTTGGTGTTGTGTCACCCACCCTTTGGAATTCCCTCTCTTTGAATATGAGACAGGTGATATCTCTGTTGTCTTACTGGCACCTATTGAAGACCTTCTCTCAGCATGCCTTTTAAATTGAGATCTTTCCCAGTCAATTATGTATATTGTATATTGTTTTAAATGTGTTATAATTGTTTTAGCATTTGTTGTTTGCCACCCTAGGCTCATTTGGAAGAAAGAAGGGATATAAAGGTAGGGCCAAGAGGAACCTAACCAAAAGTTCAAGAAACTGCAAAGGACCAACAAAACCCATTGAGATATCAGAAGAGAGTAAGGTGACTTTTTGGATTTGCCTTATAGGGATTCTAATGAATTCTAAATAGACTGTGTGCAACAATTATGTGAAATTTATGCCAAAACAAAAACAGTGAAATCTGTAGCCCCTATCAGTTGCTTTCCACATTCTGGCTCTGCTCCTGTGTCTGACATGCAAGCATGTAGCAGGGGAAACTTTTCCTACTACTTATCTCCTTATCGGGGGGGGGGGGGATATCCCCAGCCAAATGCCTGTCTTCAAAAGAGTACAAGAGCAGGACTTGTGAAAACAGTGGCAACCCTATTCCTAAAAGAATGTGAGAAAGAAGATAAATGCATAAAGCACACACTTCCAACTTCCAAACTCAGAAAAGCAGGTTAATCCCAAAATATGACTGTTTTTAGAAGAGGGATTGATGGCCCACAGATTTACAGATTGACTCTACCTTGTAGTATGCACTCAGTTCATATTTAATTTTTTAACCATTTGTAAATATAAAGTACAGTATTAAACAAAATCTGCAGACTATACTTTCCTCGGTTGTGAACAATAAAGACTAGCATTGAAGGAAAGTCTGCATTATGCAGGGGAGGGGGATGATTTTACACACAATTTCAGCTTTATATACTTTATCATCCAATATTTCATAATCCTTATTGCACCAGTGGGGTTCACTTTGAATATAAAGCAGCACATGAACTCTACTTGCTGCAAATAACATTTACCAACGGTTTCAAGTTTCTGTACAAGGCAAGCAGTGCTTGAAGTCTAAACTTCAAATGTTTATTCAGCTATTTTTATAAAGTGAAGGTTTGGATGAAAACTTACTGTAATGTTCCAGTTGATCTGTGGTATTCTTGCATGGAGATTTAGACTGAACATAAGCAACAAAACTCCAGTAACTACCGATGCACTACAGCTGACAAATTCAAAGAAATAAAGGCCTTCACAAGGGGAGCATACCATGATGGTTTCTATGCAGATGAAGGAAATCAATGCCAAAACCTAGAGGGAGAAAAAGTGGTAAAATATAAATAGTTCTGTAACATTCTGAAGACGGCCACAAATTATCCTGAAATGTTCATTGGGAATTTGATACTCAAGAATGTGCAATGAAACTTCAGTAAGATTCACAGTTTAAAAGAAGAAATCAACACAAGATGCTTGTCTCACTCATATACCAAAGCACATTTTAGTACTAAAATAGCAATCCTGTGCACACTTACTTGAAAGTCCTACAGAACTCAGTGGGTCTTGCTTTCAAGTAAACATGCATATGATAAGGCCCAGTTTAGTGATCCTGTGGCCATCCATATGTTGTGGGGACTCCACCATCAGTCCCAATCAACTAGGCCAATGACCAGACATGATAGTAGTTGGAGTTTACCATCATCATCTGGAGGGCCACAGGTTCCCCATCCCTAGCTTAGGCTGTAAATCTATCAAAGTAGTATTGGTACTGGTCCGTTTCTCCTACTATAAAGAATATGCTTTTCATTCTGGCTTTTAAAGGCATTTGGGGGTTCAGAATAGCTAGCAACTAAACTTTACTGAGTAGTACTATGAAGGCCTATTTCAATTCAGCAAAACTATACACAAACAAGACTAGGAAGAACCTAAAGAATTCAGGTATATATTTGGGAGGCTAAAATGAGATGCAAGGAGATAAGAGCTAAAGAATGCACTGTGTCTCTTATTCTCATTTTCTTATTCTTAAAAGGGGGCAGAGGTATAACAATCTCTCCCCTGGTTGATATGAATATGAAAGTGATCTTACCCGACTTTACCCAAGAAAAGTTGAATGTAATTGAAAGAGATAACAAATAATACTATAACTAGTATTGCACTGAGGTCAGTAGTCAAAATGTTACAGACGTTAATTTAGATTTCACTCCTTTCCCCGTTCCCAATTCCAAATTGGTATCACTATAATCAACACAAATCAGATCTCTCAATTGCTCTCTCACACAACTTTCTAACGCTCCTCAGAGCTATAGAAGTAAGATTTGTTTTGAGTTCCACCAGATCACATCAAATGAAGGGGTCCTTAATTTCAACATGTGTGACAATTGTTTAATTGTTTAATTGTTTACTGGGATGGCCCAGAGGCAACGAGTGGCAGTAGCAGTGTAAAAGGATACATCTTGCCAACAAGGTGTGGTTGCTAAACCTCAGGAACTCACTCAAGGGGCAGTTAGCAGGAAACAGGGATGTATTCTATGCTTGGTCCTTCTTCTACTTTCTAGGCCACGAGGTGTTTTTCAACCCAGACTTGGCCAGCATGGCCCATGGTCAGAGATGGTGGGAGCTGTAGTCTAGTAGTATCTAGGAGACCACTGGTTCCCTATCCCTGCTCTAGGCCTTTGCTTCTAAAAGATTCCATGACTTGGTGTTTCAGAGTGTACTTGAACCAACAGTACTAGTGGTTCGGGCCCAGGATATCTAAATGAGGGATGTGTCCTCTGTTAAGTCCACTAGCAGTAGGCCTGAAAATGTCCCCCTCTCCCTCATTCCCATTTAATCAGAATTTGGCTCAGTGAGGTCATCTGCTCTTTTCATATTTTGCTGCCTTGTTGCAGAGCAACAGAGTGACTAGAATCAGAGATATAGTAAGGAAAGGTGTGGGATTCTGACAACATAAGATCCTCAAATATCTTCTTTGCATACCAGTGGGAAAAGATGGGGGTTTCTATTGGACCGACAAAGGTTGCTCTAAATGTGCACACCTGGATTTCCAGCATTAACTTTCCTCACTTGCATTTCTCACATGTTCATGTCTCCTGACACCTGAAAATCAATGTTCCTTTTCAATCAATACAGTTCATGAGTTCAGTTGCAAATCTTTGAGTAATGTACATGCAGGTCCTGTTATCCGAAATTTCAGTTATCTGAATGCAAATAATTATACCCAAACCTCACTACACTGCTTCAGATACCTGAACAGCCACTTCCTTGCTTATTCTTGTTTTGCTGGTCGGCGGCAGCCATTTCAATAGAAAACCATGGAGGGAGGGAGGGAGGTTGGCCACATCACAGATTAGAAATGTTCCCATAGAAAATAATGGAAACCATCAGTTCACAAATTATTTTCTGGAAATGCATTGTGTTCAGCTAGTCGGATCTGCTTGCATGAGTAAACAACATGCTCTTTACTGGACTTTGGACTTGGAGTTTGGGAGTGTCCCAGCATGCTATAAGACAGATGAAAACATCTCTGTCATTGCCCCCTATTTCCCAGTAGCAATCTCACTTTTCTGTCACCTGATAAATCATTGCCCTGGTTTTGTCTGTATTTTTGCCTTTTTACAGAATTACAGGGCTGGAAGGGACAACAGAGGTCTAATCTAGCCCAACCAATGCAGGAAGTCCATTGCTATAGGCAGTCATCCAGCACTGCTTAAGCATCTCAAATGAAGCAAATTCTCCCACCTTCCATTTGTTCTACTGTGAAGGTTCTTGTTACCACTCCGTAATTTCCGTAATTTTTGGCTGAAATTCCCTTTTCTGGTTATTTGAACCTGTAGGTTTGGGTCCTACTCCATCCTTCAATCTCATTCCATCAGGCTGCCTTAGTGGGGGTGGGGTGGGGAGGCCAGTGCTTATTTCACCAGCTTTGCCAAAAGACCAGCTCCATCAGGCACCTCCTATCCCTGAACTTTTTCTTGCCAGTTGGTCATTATACTACTATTTAAGGAACGATTCCTGAGTTTGTTTACTTCTTCTTCCCTTGTGTGTAGTGGTTTTAGATTGCAAGCTTGTGGGCAGGGACTGCTTTGTTTTAATAGATTGTAAGTAAGCCACTCTGAGAGCCTTTTTGGCTAATGAGTGGAGCACAAATGCTGTAAATAAATAAGCAAGCGATCCCAGGACTTTCTCCTACATAAGTGATATGCCAAATACAAGATTGTTGAAGAGTATTCCATCTTAATCTACACCACTAAATTCTACCCGAAAGAAACCAGACCCAGGGCAGAGCACCTGCACACATTAAAGGAGAGAGAGGGAAGATAATGCAGAATTATTTCTTTCAAGATAGCAATCTTATTCTGACCATAGTAGAAATGATCACCAGACCTTGCAGTTCAGGTTCACATGAACATAGTAAAGCTGAGAAATTTGCATCATGTTATTGCCAATATATGCTCCTGAAACATGGATGTAGTATAAGTTGCAAAACACCGCCCCTGCATTTCTCCAAATCCCTTCATAGTACTGCAGCCAAAATAGTTTGCCCTAATATTTTGTCATACTGCAAAACAATGTTGCAGAACAAGTTTCTGCATTTAAAATGATAATGTAATCTTATTATTTAAAAAAGGGAAATCAACTAATGAAAGCTTCAATCCTATGCACACTCATTCAGTTCAATAGGTTTTTTTCCAGTAAACATGAAAAGGAACAGACTGGAAATGAATTGTTGCTGCACAAGATCTTCTTGGCAAATTGTCTATACTAATTATAACTGTCAGCATTTAAGAAAAATGAAGAGAATGCATTGCAATATGTATTCAACCTCAACAGAAGACTTCATAAGGAAGAAAATTGCTACCACTACATTTTCTCTATTAAATATCAAATTTGCTGTGTTTTATTTTTTGATAAATCAAGCAACATAAGCACTAAAAATAGTTCCCTCAAGATTTTTAAAAGAAAGAAAATAGCTTTCCTGTTTATCTGAAGAGGCCCACAAAAAGACTTATTGTGTGGTTCAATCACATAATTACTTATGATTTCACAAAAACCACTGAATAGTGAACATTTTTCCTGCTTAAGAATACCCACAATATTTTTGTAAGAATATTACACTACTAGGATTTATTACTTAAACCAGTGGTACAGTAGAAGTAGTCATATACAGCAAAGATATAGGTAAAATGCTTTTACACCTCCTCAAAATACACCCAAAGACATTTTTTAAAACCCCACACATTCAAATTTAGATTTATTGCTTTCATTTAACTTGGCCAATTCAATAGTCTAAATCTAAGTAGGCCTCATTCCTTGTAAAGCGGGTGCATTTCTCACATCTAACACAGCTGGCATAAATACAAATATTTCAGTAATATGGCTTCAGTGCATCCCTGCCTCTCCAAGAGGAAACTATCTTTCATCACAGCAAAAATATGATTAATTTTCCACCTGGCATCACTAGGGCTGGATCTGCACATGTCCATAGGTGCACTTTTTTATTCTACCCGTGGAGTCCTCTGTCACGTACACAGGAATGAAAGAAAATGAGTCAATCCAATTAGTTCCTGTAATACATCAACAGATTCCACACCCCTGACAAAAAGCACCTACATGTGTTATGGAGAATTCCTTTTTACAACAAAAAACATGGCACAGTCCCGCTTACTGTGATGGCCTGGGATTCCGATTCAGAGAGTGAACCGGAGGAATCCCAGCCGGCACAGGAGACCCCGCCTCCAGGGCCGGCTGAACTGGGGCAAGGCCTTGATTCTGAGGAGCCTGCACCTGTGCCGGATCCTCAGGAGCAGGCACCAGGTGAATCCATTCTGGCTCCAGAGGTGGTTGAGGACTCAGTGCCTACAGGTGAGTCTCCCCCTGGACCCAGTAACCCTTCAGCCTCTCCTGAAGTGCAGAGGCTTAGGGCAGAGAGGCGAAGGGAACTGGTTTCTCCCAGGAGGAGTGCTCGCCTTAAGGCCAGGAGAGGCGGGGCTCCTGGGGGCCGGGACCGCCCCTGGCCTTAGAGAAGATAAAGGCCAGTCAGCCCGGTCCCAGGTTGCGGGAGCAACGTCGTTGTTGAGTACCTGTGCTTACCCGGACCCAGACCTGATCTTCCATTGTTCCTGTTCCCCGCCCGGCTTCCTGCTTCTGACCTTCGAGTGTTCCTGTCCCCGCCCGGCTTCCTGCTTCGGACCTCACCTCGCACCTTGTGAACTATTTCCAGGCTAGTGACTCAGGACTGAACTTTGACTACGATAACAGTAACCTTCCCCCGGGACCAGCACACTTACTTTCAGTGGAAGCCTCACAACTGTTTT